ATATACTCTCATCTGTAACCATTCAGGTCCAACTAAACCCGTGATGTGGTTACATTTATGCAGGACTTTGTAATATTTTTCAAATGAAAAATGTCACTGGCCTTGATAGCCTGATGAATATAACAAGTCCCAGAACTACAGTACTACATATACTGTGATACAACAAAATAAATGCTGTTGTTTTCAAATTTCTGTTTTGTTAAACATGTGGCACAAGGGCAGAACGTACAAACACATTTCAGTCACCAGGGAGCAGCACTTTCCCCGACTGAGGCTGAACACAACAGCAGAAGTAGTGCACAAGCGCAGAGAATTGAAACTTGATCCAGACCATGAGCTATGGAAAATGTTGCTGGTGGGCAGTCCTGCTAATGCTTTCGACCCTGACCTCTGCCATTCTCTAGCTAAAATTTGAAAGCACTGGCTGAGTAACAGTGTCCACAGAGTAGATGCCAAATTCTGTTCCTGAATGAAATGACCTGAATTATAGAGCTTAAAGAATGCAGACACAATGTCTCTGCAGACTTTGCAGGTAATGTTACTGAATACACACTGATATTATAAGACATACGTAGCCTTATATGCCCAACCTTTTAAGTTTTTTTCACATGCAATACAAGCTGTCCCTGTCACCTGTCCTTTTTCAGGCCTTTCATCTGCACACCACACCCAAATTCAAATGTGGGTGAATTGCATCAGAGCTGACATGTTTAACAGTCATGCTTAAAACACTCGCCCACCAGTGAGGCAGAGGCCAGGTCAAAGTGTGTTGTAAAAGTCACCCAGGAAATCCAGCTCTCGTCACAACCTCCTTACACTGTCTCCCAACAGTGAAGCCATGTCTGGACCAGGCTACTTGACAGCATCGCAGGATCTGCTTAAAGGTATGGAAAGAGAGCAGGTGGCTGCAGGGATCAGTAAGAAACACACAACTAAAGACAGAGCACAAACCTCTCGAGCTGCTGATTTTTGTGTGGCAGTCTTACTGAAACAAGCATGTCTGAAAAACCTGCTGCCTGTCTGACAGCCTATTATACCAGAACCTGCATATCCTTTGGCATTCATATTTCCTCAGAAATGTACACAATACCCATGCTTGCACAGTAATGCAGCCCTATAATCCTCATGACCTCATACTATTGGTTTTGAAATGACTTGACTCAACAAAAGTATTTGATCCCGTGATCTAGCCTTTTCTGTCATAGCATTTGTTATGCTAGAAAAAGTCGCATGCAGTATTGCCAAAAATAGAACGCCCTTTTTGCATGCAGTCACACTTTTGCACAAGCCCGCATTCTTTTCCTGCCACTCTAACCCACAATCCTCTGAGCCAACTACACATAAAGCAAGAGGGTCAAAGTTCAAAGCACACCGATTTGAGGCAGCTGCAGTTCCCACTAAAGTTCTCAACTTGCATTTCAGATATTTTTAATTAAATAGAATTTAAATGACCTCTATGGCCTTTTTTTAAAATCCTTTTGCAAAATGAACTGAGTTGAAATTTAAAATGCAGCTGAACAAAACACCGCTGAATTGTAACAGGCAAATTTTACTGCAATGCTGAACAAACAAGCATAATTCAGGGATCTGAGCAGTTCCTGTAAAACACTATACTACTATCTGCAGACAGACAAACTAATAATAAGTATTACGCACAAGCATGGTGCAGACTTACTGCATGGGATACTAAATAATGTCTGCACTTGCTGGCCTTCAATATTTACTTAAGGTTTGCCAGTGTGATCTGTAGAGGAGAATTAACTATGCGTACTTAGCTTAGCAAAAAAGGAAAGTCAAAATCCACTTCAAAGATGCTAGTGGCAAGTGTTTTACAAACAGTCAAAGTATAAATCCACAGAGTCAACACAAAGACTAACTTGGCAGTGTCAGAAGGACAGAGTTTGACCTCACTGATTTGACCCCATTAAAGCCATCAGTTGCACTGTTTGTTGGAATTCAGCAGGAAACTCCCACAAAACACTTTTCCCTCCACCTAGTGTACTGAAAAGAAAAGGAACTAAGAAAGAACATGTCTGTTACAAAAATATGCTGATGCAGGAGATAAAGGTGCAACTGTAAAAAATTCAGAATCCATAACAGACACAAACATTAGTTTCAGTTCAGTCAGTAAGCACTGACAAAGCATAAAATGAATATTTCAAAAGCCTGTCTCTTGAACAGCCCATTTATCCCCCATTTAACATACAAACATTAACGTATGTGGGTAATAAGGGCAGTCAAAGAAAAATTTGCGACAAGAGTTCACCTCTCCCTTTGTTTTCAAGAATAAAGACAAGAATGTTACGCAGTTATGTGGCTCTTTCCAGTGGCTTGAGCTTATTCCTTTTTTAAATTTACCTGAAGATGACCTCTCCCCCAGTGGATAAACTGTGTTAGAGATGCAAAACCCTAAAATGGGAATCTCTTT